TGTCGTTAATAACATTCAAATTCACTTACGATTGCGTTCTCATTGTTTTGTTAGTAATAGTAATAATAATAGCATATATACTATTGGAACAATAGCTCTTGGGCACATGCTGCGCAATATTATTACCTGCAACGTATACTTGTATGCATATATATATTATTGTACACACTATATACGAGTATACCTCTGTATTAAGTTTAATACTTAGGTTCAAATTTAAAAAAAAAAAATGAACTTGAATTGCTTTTGATTTTGTGCCACGTGTAATCACATTATAAAAAAATTGTTTTACAACAATGTGACGAAAAACTGAAAACGAATTCTTTTGAAAGTATATTTACATAAAAACGTATGTGCATTGTGCATTAATATATTTTTAATATATTATGCTTACTTTTACAGAACATTTTGTTAAAAACATTTACAATGGTAGAAATGCACGTCCAACAATGTATGGAAAAGTTTTATATTCTTATAATAAATTTAAAAAAATATATAATATATTGTAGACAATATAATAATTATCAAGCAAATGCACAAATGTTATGCGTATTAAACGGATAYGGTTATTTATTTGAATATAAAGGCATGACCCAATCTCGAAAAGCAATAAAAACAAAAATACGCTTAATAATTATTAATGCGATGCACCTTATAACAATAAACATAATATTATAACTGTTTTGTTAAAGTATATAATTTTATKTTTTACTATTTATGTATAAAATATATTCAACTACTATAAACCGACGGTATGACGTATTATAAAACAATGTTAGGCATTTTTATGTGATAGTCACAAATTAATAGATAAGATGACCGCCCGATTTCTCATGATTATTAGTTATATGTCATTGATTAAAAATTAATAAATGCATCAAAATTTTCAGGGAATCTTTATGAATGATGAAACGTGGTTATACCTTGAATAAAACTWTTCCCAGCCATGTACTATATACCAACTATAAGTTGGTTTTATACCTCATGTGCAGTATGTTTTTTGTCATCCGGATATAACGATCTAATTATCTGAGTCCCTTTAAGATCGTTAAAAGCGAATTTTACTGWATWTATTTCATTATATTTTATTATGAAATACTTTGTTTAATATAATAATATGCATACTATTATAATAATACGTTGCGAGCAGGCCCGTATATTATATTTTTACTTTCCTCCCTCCACCATTAATAAGTTGCAGTTGCTCTATAGAGATAACGGTAAAAATGCATAACATGAAATTATTAAAAATATTCAGACCGTCACGGTAAATGTATTTTATGATGTTGTCTTCGTTGATTATATGCCGCAAGGTTTCCGTATGTTTACATTTTATTCTACTTTCAAAAATATTATTAGAGTTTTGATTCGAAGATAAATATTATTATACCATTTCGCTGATCTCGGGATATAATTTTATCCTAAATATATGTATTCTATTATAATTACTTTAAATTTAAATAATTTGTGTTTTAAATGTTTTAATAGTTTTACGTTTTTATGTTTTTACTGAACGGATATTTCTCAATCACAAATGCTGTTATATTCGATATGTACCAAATCAAAATGGTTTATTTTAATTTAATGCACTGCACCAAAACTACATGTTATAATACGAGTACAGTACCTAATACTTATTATAGTCTGCTTTTGATAATATTATTATTGCAGTATAATAATTAATAATACAAATATAAAGTTKTAATATAACATGATATTGTACTAATACCTATACATGCGATATTATAATATATACCTAGGTAGGTAATTATTTTACATTAAATTTATTGATGTAAGTATACTGAATTGCTATCGAACATAATTTGTGTCGTTCGTTGAGTTTGTCCAATACCGTAGTAGCAACATAAAATGCGGAAGTTATCATTAACAGTGCCGGACAACTTCATTATACACAATGACTTAAATCATAAGTTACGATGATGAAATAATATTACATACTTTATAACTTATTAAAAATGATTAGAATAGACTAAAAGACATATTGGTATAAGTCATGATTTGATACATATATAAAGGTCATAATAATATGGTTCAACCATATTCAATATAGGTACTGACAAATGACAATATATTGTATACATATATTTAGTATTTACACTATATTATATTTTTGTATATAAACTGAATAAAGTGTGTATATAGGCAAAGGGTGCCATCATTTTTACTAGCCTGAATATTATATAAGATATAATTGTTTAATTAGTTAGTTAATAGGCGTTATTCAATAAACAAGTGTATAAGTATACGATTTCAATACTTATCTGCGGTAAGTAGCTGAAWAATCTCAACAGCATAATAAGGCTAATTATTATAGTAAAATAATTGAGTAATCCGTTAGTTGCAGATTTAACCTAAAAAAAAATGTAAAATTTGAAGATAATATATTCACTTGATTTAAACCTAGATATCTTGATAATTCACATTCTCTGTACAGTTCTACGATTGTGGTAAGAACATAATATAAAAATAGTGTTGCGTGTTAAGGTATAATACCATCGGGGACACACTAATTTTGGCCCCACCTGAAAAAAATAATGAAAACGACCGAAACTGTTTGGAACTATACAAAAAATACGATTTTTATGTGTACAAGGTACAATTTCGAAGTTTATATTTAGAGTAATATTTTTTATATTCTGTGCCACCAAATTTGACTCTTTTCTAAGAAATTTCAAATTTCAAAAATATACACTGTTAATATTATATTATTAACAATTTTTAAATTGTGATGATTATAATTTGTAATGTGTGAAAAAACTATTCACTGACTATTGAATACTGGATAAATGTACGTCTGTCTAATAATAGTCATGGTTGGGCTTTTATAGCTTTAGAATTGCATAAATATACCTATAATATAACCTAAATATCGCTAAATGTGTAATAAAACCAACAAAATATGCAAAAATAGTGAGTGATACTAAATTTGGAAATAGATAATAGTTTTGATAATTAATACGTATTAATGTATTATTACTGCAATATATGCAATATTCTCGTCCATCGAGTGTCATCTGCATAGATTATAAACACATTGTAATTATTCGAATCTAGCTTATTTAGATCTTTCTATACGTTATATGGGCACAACTGTACAAGCTTTGTTATAATTCAAATTATTTAAATACATTTCATAAAGTAATTACTTAATACGATTCCGTTCAAAAATATTTTAAAATCTTTCCACTCTGGGGGCAAGTGCTGAGTGAGTGAAGTGCGTCTAATGCAGCCCCCCCCCCTGTTAAAACGCCTTTGATATGCAATAATAATATGTCTTATGCATGACACATAAAATAAAAACTATATACATTACTATACTATGACAATAATGCAATGACATAACCACATAACTATGGTGTAATTGTTCTATATAAATATCATGATGTACGCTTTGTAGACATTTTGATTTTAAGTGGTTATCAAGACTAGCCACGACTATAACACTATTCATTACACGTTTATGTACATTTTTTTGGCGCCAAGATGTATATCCATCGTAGTGGCGCCAGAAGAGGTGTACCTACCTATTTACTTTGGTAAAGGTGCAGTGGRGCATACTTACGARTTACGAGATTAATTTTTAAATGGTGTATTACATTGTTATAGATATAGAGTCCGATTTAGACGTGCGGTAAAGTAAATTGAACAAAGTAATACAGAAATTATGTTTAGAATTTTGAAAAAAGCTTAAAGCTTTCTTATTATTTTCTCGTATTGTTTACATTTTTAAAGTTTACTTATATAAATTGTTATAAAACCCTTCTTCTAGACTTCCTAGTTTTTCATTAAAAGTATGCGATATGMAACTGAATGATTTTAAAAATAACCACTAATTACTAAGTTAAATATTTTAACAACGAAATAAAGACATTTATAGTAGTGCTCTACTTGAAAGTTTTGAAAAAATTGTATTTACATAAATAACTAAAAGACGGAAAATATTTTCATATTAATTAAAATTAAAAATAGTTAATATCATGGTATTATCATTTTTTTGATTTAACTAATACTATGCAGTATTTAATATATACAAACCCTTATGCTAATGCATTAATAATTGATTATAAAAAAAAATTTAAGTAGTAGATTTCCTATATGATCTACCAGTTATTAAGTTA